ACAGACTTGGTTCTAGACAATATATTACATAGCATACAAGCATGGCAATTCACTGATATGCAGTCAGCTATAGCTAAAGAATTCAGGGAATCCAGAAGGTCAGCTATGGGAGTGCAAGCAATGTTCTCATGACCTGCTCCAGAAAGACAGTTCTCATGAAGGCCCTGTAAGGTGTGCAACGAACACAATACGATGATAAAAACCATGTATCCATGCAAGAGATGCCTGATTCTGACACTCTGAAGCCTGCTACATCTGCACAGAACACTGAGCTACAGACAGATTACCTGCCGCCCACTTCATGTCAGTTTCTTGCGTGGCGTGCTGACACTGCGGATGGAGGCAGTATGTTTGTTCAAAACGTCTGTGACCTACAAAACTACACACCATTACATTTGCAAACACAGTAAAGGTAAAGGTAAAGCTATCTCTATAACAGGCTGTGAAGGCCCATAGTGCTGTGAGATGCTGAGGCTTCCACATTTTCTAGACAATCAGCTCACAGATGGTGGTTAAGTTTTCTGCCTTATATACCAGCTGCACTTTACCCCCCAGAAAAATTTCTGTTAGAGGTTGGCTCGACCTCTGGGCCATGGTTCGGCTGGAAGGGTTTCAACTGAAAAATCCATAGTGCCTCAACCAACTACGCTACTGTGTGCCCCTCGAAAACACAGTACTCAATATAACAACAGACATATTTGCTGAAACGTTACCTGATGCTGTTAGCATAAATCTATGTAAAGATTGCCAAGTTTTTAATACAGAAACTTGTTAACATGTTAATTTGACTAATTTTCTTTGAGAACACAAATAATTTTAAAATGTGAATGCAGCAAATACTCTACCCACTTTTCAAGCAACTACTAGATGAACCCCTGCATGATTCCACTACTGGTCATGCAGTCAGAGCGTCCACAGATCCTGTGAGGGAAGTGTCTGAGGGGCTCAATTACTAGTAGTAATTTGTGGCCAGCACCTCCCCCCCCACCCTCAAACCAGGTGACTCTTATTTACAGGAAAACAGAGAGAAAAACTGTATAGATACAAAATTCATACAATTGAAAAACTGAAGGAAAATATGTGAAGGGAAGCTATCTCTGCTTCCTAAACGCATCTTCAAGTGAATGTAAATTTTTACAGAGGATCCTGCAATGTGTGTGAACAAGAGAGAGCATTTCCAACAACTGGTGTAATCTGAATTCATTGCAGCTTTCACTAGCAGCTGAGTCTCTGTGCCACTGACATGACAGGAGGAACATCGTACTCCTCTGCTTGAGTCATGTAGCAACTGGCAGAATGCTCAAACATTTTTACTTTATAAATCTGAATCCTTGAAACTGACAACACATCAAATCCCTTAAATCATATTATCTGGTTTATTTTAAAACATCTTATTGATGATTACTCATTATACATAGAATTACCGAGTTATGTAACACTGACATTTCAACTACAGAGGTTCACAATTTCTTTATTAAAACCATCACAACATAATTATATTAAGGTCAGTGCCAAGTTTGGCTCTGCTACATGTTTCGGCTATTAAAAGCCATCATCAGGCAAATACATGGCTAACATATATACACCACTGAACTGCAGTACTAGTAAAATTGGATACAATAACATTAATTATATTAAAATACTTGGCATAAAAATACAATAAATTAGACTATATAAAACAAAAGTTATAGTATAAAACAAAAATAAAATTCTTCAAGTGATGCTTTAAATCATCCAGTCAGTCTTCGTTTTTGTGATTTTGTTGTGTTCCCACAGACAAATTGGAGTATTCTATATTTTGTGTATATATAATAAACTGTTTTGGAGGCTCATGATGTAGATGTAATAATATTAATGTTAATTATTTAGTCAGTGCCTCATCTTACACAGTACTGTCCCTTCTGTAGGGAATGTAAACAACAATGTAAACTTGAGGCTTTCATGGCGGTGACTATGAAGAAAGCAGTCTTCTGGGATTTGGCACCATGTATATGTGGTGTTAGCCGACGTTTCGGAGGAACGTCTGTTAACACCACATATACACGGTGCCAAATCCCAGAAGACTGCTTTCTTCAACAATGTAAACGTTTACATTCCCTACAGAACGGACAATACTTTGTAAGATGAGGCACCGACTAAATAATTACCATTAATATTACTACATCTACATCACGAGCCTCCAAAACAGTTTATTATATATACACAAAATATAGAATACTCCAATTTGTCTGTGGGAACACAACAAAATCACAAAACCCAACAACTGACTCGATGATGTAAAGCATCACTCGAAGAATTTTATTTTTGTTTTAAACTATAACTTTTGTTTTGTTTTTCCTTGGCACTACAGCCCCAGTGGGCCTAGGCCTACCTCCATGAACTTCTCCGAACTTTTGTTTTATATAGTCTAATTTATTGCATTTTTATGCCAAGTATTTTAATATAATTAATATTACTGTATCCAATTTTACTAGTACTGCAGTTCAGTGGTGTATATATGTTAGCCATGTATTTGCCTGATGATGGCTTTTAATAGCTGAAACATGTAGCAGAGCCAAACTTGGCACTGACCTTAATATAGTTGTGTTGTGACGGTTTTAATAAAGAAATTGTATATTATAACACAACAGGATGCATGAAATGAAAATTACAGAGGTTTACATAACATGAAATGAGACTGAATGCTCAAGGAAGTCTAACTGATAAGGGTTTGGAAGGTGGTGGTCATGCCTTCAACGCTTGTTTGAGAGGCTGGGGGTAGCCAATAATTTGTGCAAGATTCCACTTGGGCACTTCCTGAATACAAGCACTACCCAACCTGTTCAGTATCAAACAGCAAAATTCTTTCCAAAAATATAGCAATATCGAGCTCATGTTGTATACATTCATATAAAGTCAATCTCAACTGCATACAGTTAACATTTCTGTCACAATTCCACAGAGATGGCCCAAAGGCAGTCAGAACATCTGTCAAAGCATACTTATACCAACAAGGCACTGCCATAATGTAAAATCAATCCAGCATTTCTTAACAAGAGCATGGAATAACAAATACTACAAAATATATTTTAAAATTAATCATACTTCTGACTAATCAGCTAAGGAAGTCAATGACTAAATTATTCCCACCTCTGTACAACTTGTAAAAGCACCTCAAAATCAGAATGCAAACTTTGGGATCATAGGACTGCTAACAACAAACTTCACAACTTTTGCAACATAAACAATTTCCTCCATGAAACATGGCTCAGATGCACACACCCTTCCCCCAGCATTGGCCATGCAACAGTAGAATATAAATGTCTAGGAGGAATTTCATCCAACACAACTGTCAAACATATCATTCAGGCAACTCAGACTTAAAACAACACATTCTAACTGAGAACAGAAATACTGTAACAAAACCTTTCTTCAGACTGTGGATTACTTTATGAAACCATTTCAAACCGATGCCCTAACACCAGTCTGCACTAGGGGCCAGGGCTGGTACAACAGACCACATACTGACCAACAACCAGTCTCACCCCACCCCAAGAAATAATAACAATAAAGAAGACATGGTAGCTCTCAAAATAGCGAGGTTTCACAATGTGCACATGGGCCATAAATACTGCAAGACAGACATAAACATAATACCCTCTTATTGATTGCAAAGAAGGGTTCTGTACACTGTATCTAACAACATTGCTAATATGGGAGTTGTAATTGACCTGGTAACTCTTAAATAACTTGTGTTCCATTCTGTCCACACAATTAAGCTTATCGTAAAGTAACAGCTAGACAGTGCATCTGATTTACAAGGAAAATATCACAGAACTGTGGGTTTTTTAAACGAACCTGCCTGGCAAAATAAAATGTGGTGGCAATGTAGATGATGCAGAACAAGCATGTCCATAAACTCATAGAAGCTGAGATAAAGTGTACTGCAGCCACATTTACTGCTGTTGACTTCAAAATGGATATTCTCAATCTAGCTCAAGGTCCACACTCCAGCAGGCGCTATCTTTACTGAAGCTTTTCAGGATTATGATGCTAGAACTGTCTTCTGAAACATGTGCTCCCATATTGAAAATTGTCTTCATTTACAAATGCATCCAGCAATGCAGCAGACAAGGAACAAGACCATACAGTGCAAAGAATATGGCTCCAGTTGCTGTTGCCAACTGACATAAGTGTGCTAATTCTAGAAATTGCCAGTGTTGGACTCAAGATTCAGTTGAGTAATACAAAGGAGATTAAGGTTGTGTGCATTCTACTTGTAACTAATCAGTATTCATGAATACCAGGCACAGCAACTCCCCACCAGGAACTATCAGCAATGCAGACAATGCACTTTGGCACTCATCTGATGTGTATTCCAGAACAGAATCAGGGGCACACAGTAGGGCAGATGCCATTGTGGACATGCAATGGTATCTGTCGGAATCTTACAAACCAAGACCACAGAATCCACTCATATACCAGTGATATAATCAAGTAAGATATTAAACATAAAATTCACAAAAATATATAAAGTACAACAGTCACATCCGTCTCACATGAAGAACTCTTCAAGTCTTGATTATTACTATCTAAGAAGAGAAGGTGACTCAATGGGGATAACATTAATATGGCTGTGTTTCTGAATAAAAACTGGAAGCAGAAGTGCATTATGATGATTTTGTAACTAAATCTGGACCATTTCATTTGATTATTGTCCCAATTTTCAGACTAAAATTTTAAACATTAAGTCAGGAAAATTATGGAAGCATAATAGTAACAAAAAGTGAAACTTACATTCTCTTCAGTGTAATTTATAACCATCATTTTGAACCTGGGTGTGTAACTGTTACATTTCCCCATGTCTAACACTTTGAAATCACTGTTTATTATTGCTGATTTAACTTAGGATCATACAGATGAAACAAACTCCTTGACTGTAAGGATTACAGTAAGGCACCCAGCACATGGAGCTCCACTGATAAGAACAGATTATTTTAGTGATAACTTTGTCCCTTGCACTTGTTTTCAGTTTCACAGAATTGCCACCTGCCTTTATTTGGTAGAGATATGTCTTTACAGAAACACAAAAGTGTAAAAGCCAAATAAACAGAAACAAAACAATGCAACAACCGCACCTGGTTGGCTATGCACATCTACACAAGCAAGAGTGACAGAGACAGCAATATTAGAACAGAGACCGTGCAATATCAGGGCAGTGGCAAGGTATGAGCTGTGCATGGCAGCAACTTATGTCATTACTGAAGTATTGCAGAAATGCAACCAGGGCAAATGATGGCTTTGTATTTATATAAAATATAGATAAACATATAGCATGCCTGGTAATTCATGCCTATGAACAACATTCCTCAATGAACATCAAAGACAAAAGTGTTCCTTCATAAAATTGCAAATGGTGCATTCATTTTTTGCAGAAATGCAATTAAAGTCGTACATGATGAGGGAACTTTCAACTTTTCTGGATCTTCTCCACTACCAATCTAAATGCACCTCTTATTGATTAAATGATCACTACACAAGAGAGTATAGGGTGCAATGCATGAACAATTGTTGGATGCTCCTATGTTAACACGCTGTGGTAACAGCAGTTTGTGCATGACCTCCAGTTAAAAAAAAAGTAATTTCATTGCAGTTACAGCTACTTATTTAACATTAATTCCTCACTTCAGTAAAACATATCTTATCACTGTGATACTGGAAACAGGCAGTACATCCCCTTTACACAGACATAAATGGAGCTTGGTGTTACAATTTCACAAATACCAATATCACCCAAGTGTGACTTGTGTCTCAATATGGATACACCACTCACTGCTTATGAGACGACTACACTCATCAGCCATATGCACTTCGGCACAGGTGATCAGTTTTGAGAAGCTAAACCACTACAATCAAAACACTTCTTAAATAAATGGACATAAAACAGGTAAGGAATCTAAGAGCACTTGCTAGAAAAACAAACTTGGCAACATCTCCGGCTCCTCTTTCTAAAATACACTCCATAGTATCTACATACCATCAGTCTTATATATACTTCATCTTCATCTTCCCAAGCTAAATGCTTTCATCAGTAGATGTGTGAATGTGTAACAAATCTGTGCCCTTTATGAAGGGTGAAACATCCACATTCCTACAATCCAGCACCAAAATATTTCAGTATATCACATCACAAAATAAATTACCTGCTAAAATTTATTGCGAAGTACCAAGTACCCAGAGATGTCGGCATAAAAATAAAAGCACCACCAGGGCAGTTCAGCACGCAATTCAAATCAAGATGTGACCCCATTCTCATTGTTAACTGATAACTTGTAAATGCAGAATTAAATGCTACAGAATTCATGATGAGCACATAATAAAAGCTGCCAATGTTTCTATTTCAGAGGTCAGAAATTTAAGAACTGATAAGGGCTGTGTGTTTCCAAGCCATAACTTCACAGGAAGTACAATGGCAGTGCTCTAGCAGTCAAAAGAGCACCAGGGCTCTGCACTACCCTGGACTGGACTGCACTGGCTCATCTACAGCCCTGCAAGTACCCAACGTCCTTACAATGAAGCACAAAGAGCTTCTTTAACCCCTTAAAACCCAGTTGTTACTATATGTACCACCTGCTTTAACAAATTAAAACTCTGCATTCTGCCCACAGAACGTATTTGTGCGTTTCATATGGTTCTCACAATAGAGGTTATTTCACTAAACAACATTAACCAGTTTGTCTCTGTAGTGGAGATATAATGTTTCCTGTGGGGTACAAACTGCTTTTTTATATATTATGTCACAGAAATCCAGTCTTTAAAGCGTTAAGTAAAATGTCAAAATGCACAAAAGGAATGATAAAATATTACGAGATATACTTTACATTACAACAGTTGAAAACTAAAACAGAAGTCCATCCTATCTGTCATGGGGGGAAGCAATGTAAATATGAGGGGGGTTATGCTGCAATGCTAAGAATTTACAAACACCAAAACTCTTTTGAATAATATATCTTAAGCCTCAATTGCATTATGTATAGAGAGAAAATTTTCATTTATGTATTTCTTGTAAAACCAGGCAGGCAGACTCCAGTGTACATCAAACACCATGGGCTCATGCATGGTCATCATATTCAATAAGAGAACATCCTGACCATATGTGAACAACATATATGTGTCTGCACTGAATATTAAAAATAAAGATACCATAAAATTCTGGTGTAGTACATATTTTCACTTGCTTTCAAGTATATGTGTGTTTTGATAACAGCTACTAAATTTCTTTGTCAAATAAATGGGAAAAAATAAGAAATTATCCTTTCCTTGATTTATCAATGGTTCTCTTCAAATGCAGTTATGAACTGAAATCAGTTTAAATCTCTTCATTTGATGGAAATGTCATGTGATGCAAATGAGCATCAGAGGAATGTGGAACAATGACATTCTATAGCAAACAGAAAAAAACAGGAGACATGGACTCTATATGAGCCACAGTTATATATTTTCAGAACATTTTCTATGCCCAAATATAGTATATAAACAATCCTGTCCTACCTGTTTCCTGCTTATTTAAAATAAAAGTTTTTATATAAAGATAAAGGAAAATTGTTTGGATATTCTGCTGCACATCTAACATCAAACTATACGGACATAAAATAGCATCACTTTTCCTATACAACAACTGGATGCGGTATTACACAGCCTACATAGGCCTCTTATACCCCATGGTAACCAAATTTGGTACGACAGAGTGGTAACTATTACCATCTTCCCTTAAAATGTCATTTTTCCATCTCCTACTAACTTACAACCACAATATTAATCATGGGTAGAAATGGAATCAGCCAAAGTCTTGTGCCATGAGGGATGGTGAATGAAATGCGACCCAACTACTCTGCTGGCGATGGTAATTACTTGTGAGAAGACTGTGCCTTGCGCTGCTGCAGTTGTAGCGTCTGTACTTGCTCCTCCAGTTCTCTGATTCGTCGCTCTCTGTTTGCCAACTGCTTCCTTAAAAGCTTCAGTTCCTCACACTGCCGTGAGTACGCCCTCTGCAACTGAAACACAAAGCCATGCCATTTACTCATATCTGCCTTATTTGTTCCAGAAACTGGAACCAACGCAAGAGTATATCAACACAACATAGCTGGCAGTTCAAGCTTCAAAAAAATAATCACAATAACATTAAATGCTGGACAAATAAGGGGTGCAAAAACACAAATCAAAATGTATCAATTATATGAACATGTCTTAAAAGGCATGTTAAATATATTCAGAAATTACTTAATTTCACATCTCTCTTTGCAACACTGTGTCAAAGTTTCATGCCATACAAAGCTGGTTAAACAGAATTCTGGGATTCTATGTAGTATATACAGATATAACCACAGAACTGACAAGATACAGGAGAACATCACTTGGCTTACACCCTGGCCCTGAAGATAGTGGCAGTACATTCTTCAGTAAACCTCTACCAGACTACACAGTGTTACATGTGAGAAGACTGTAACCTCCACTACCACTACCACCACCACCCTTCCAACATGAGGCCTGCTAAGATCTGCCTCAGATCTTGCATAATGGAATCCTTCAGTTGTTTCAGAGGTGTCAGCATACTTCTCTTTCCACTTGGTTGATTTTTTTAAATCATGCCATCTTGTTCTTTTCAGTTTCTTCTGTATGGTTCTATAAATCTCACTATTTGAGGAATCTGTGGTTATTTCCTAACTTATTTATTTTTAGTGTGTATCCCATAGTCCTTATTAAATATATTTCTACTGACCTCAATCTTCTCTCACCGGTCATTCTTACTGTCCGTGGTTCACTACGTTGAAGTTAACACTAGTCTAACAAGTGTCATAAATCTGTATTATTGTATGCCTGGAAACTGATGGTGGTTAGATCTGACTTATACTCCTTGGTAGTTTGAAACAATACACAATTTCAACATTATAAGTCAGTATAAATGTTGTTTAAACATAACAGTAGTGACAGGAACAAAGAAACTGTAATAAACCCACTTTGCAGGAAGTTTGAAGAAGAATTTTAAATCTTGTTATGTACACACTGTCACTTATAGGGATGACTACAGATGAGCTTTGGATTCCATATTGGATTTATTGACCACTAACAGATCATAACTATAAATACCTATAAAACTCACTAATTTCCACAGTTCACTACAGCATACAGTCCAGTGTTCTCAGTCTGTTACTATGAGTAACTATAAAAGTCTCACTGAATTACACACTCCAAATATCATTGTAACCACAGCACACAATACATTTTTGGTCTAGACATTTCCTGGTAATGGGTTTTAACAATGGAGTTTCTTAAGTCTTCTTGCCTAGACATTTCCTTGTGATGGGTTTCAACAGTAGAGATTCTTCAGTCTTCTCATCTAGACGTTTCCTGGTAACAGGTTTCAATACTGGAGTCATTCCCTAGCAATGACTGTCTATCCCTGTGTACCAAGAATCTCCCACCTAGCAATGGATGTTGTTCTGTTGTTTGTTTCGCAGCCACAGCTTAGAAATGAGTCTACACGCCACACTACATTACGCTATCATGACCCAAGATATTACTTGTTACAGAGATTTTATTGTAAGATATGGGCTTCTCAAGACAGTGACTACAAACATTTCTGTCTCCTGGGATATGATGCTGCTTGGGATGGTAGAAGTTTACCTATATGTTACTTATGCTTCCATCTTGAGGGCTGACAGAATAATCAGGGTTGTTGCTTGCTTGGCATACTTGAACTCTGAAGTTGCACTTACATGTAAATTCCCTTTCTAAAACAGTTTCACTATCTTGTTGGGATATTTTGCACAAATCCACATGTTCCAAATGTACATCACATCCCCTGCACACTTTCTTATCTATTACATGAACCATTAATTTCATGTTAGCCTTGAAATATCCATGTAAATTTACATACATCTGTGATGAGAGAAAATATTAAAATTAAAGGTGTCACTCTACTTAATTAAGCAGTATGCCATGAACACCTATGAGGGAGTGGAGGTACAGCTCCACCATTCTTGACCTTTGCAGTAGATGGAAGTGAATTGTCAGTTTCAGGCCCCTGCTGCTTTACTCTTGCGGTAACCATGGTATGGGAGGTTGGGTGGGCCCCAGAGCTGGTCTGGATGCTGCAGAATAGAGAAATATCTCCTGCCCCTGCTGGTAATCAAACCCCAGCCATCCAGCCCATAACCCTTGCCACACCAACCAAACTATCTCAGAGAGAATACAGTAGTTACTCATAATTCATTATGTGTAGTGCAATTTTATAAGGTTTTACCACTCTGAATTAAAATTGTCCATTCAGAGGATCCTGAAATTATGCCTCTTTTTTCACTGTCTCACTTGTGCATCAAAACTAAGATCTAAAAGTAAATAATTTACTAAGTAAATTTATATGCCCTTGCAATAATCTGTAAAATCTGCAACTTTCTTCTTTTCTTCTCTCTTCACGGGCATACCCATTATACTGTCAAATATCTGGTATTCCACTGTGAAAGTTACTAATGCAAGAGCTACTAGTAACATTACAATTCTGTGTCTCAACTCTTTGTTAAAACTGCAGTTCCAGATGAGGTTCCTTTACCACGGGGGCACATTGCTGTAAAACAGACTATATTGACTAAAAGTCTGCATGATTTTCTTACCTGTTCTATGCATGCTACATGCCCCACCCATCTCATTCTCCTTATTTGGTAACTCTAATATTATATTTGTCATCAAAGTAAATGTTCCACACTCAGTAAAATTCAGAGTTCTCAATATTTATGGAGGTTTTTATACAAAAATACAATATTCTAGTGCACTGTTTCCCTCTTGGCTGAGGAGCTTTCTACAGTTTTATGTTTACTGGGTTATTTTCTTGACCGACTGTTCTTGGATCATTAATCAATGGTAAATTATTGCGTTATTTAAGATTATTAATTTGGGGCTTCCTCCAAGTGAAACCCCCAATAGTATGAAACTGTGGAACATGTTTTTTATATAATTCGTTGGAGCAGTCCCCTTCTTGAGAAGCTGATGGGTTACATGGTGAATAATTTCTGAAGATGGAACATGAGTGATGACTGCAAGGTGATTTGGAAGGCGGTAGAGGTATGTACTGTACTCAGAGGTGCTATCATATGACATCTAACATGAGACACATGTAAAACACAAACTCATTGTCACTACAGGAACTACCGTGGGTGAGGTTCAAACCAAGTACTTCCTGAACGCATGCTGAGACTGTATCCAGTCACTTACCTGTACTGAAAGTTAAGGTTACAAATTATTAAATGAAAGATGAAAGGACAACTGTGAGTGACGAACCGAAAGATATGATGGGGCAGCGATTGTGATATAGCTGAACCCCTGACAGAGTTCTCACTGTGGCTGAATTATTTAATATTATCTATTAAGACAGCAAACACTGATCTTCCTCAGAATGTCGCCTCACCTGGAATTCCGTCTTGGGACTGTCACCCAGTTGCTCCGTCCGCTCACCTCGCTTGTATTCATCGCTTGCCATGATGTTGGGCTGAAACAGAACGTACACGTGTACCGCCATCTCAGTGAACAAACCTTGACCTCTTCCAGAACACAGAAACAGCTTTTCTGTAAATGTGACAAATAACTACCTTACCTGGAGCAACCTGGTCAGAACCAGCACGACCACACGGGTGAACCAAGTAGCCACCAGAGGCAGTATAATTTTCAGAACAGCACATTTTACAATCATTCTTTTCAGACACTTTTAAATGAAAATAATTCCTGCTTTCCTTCCATTCATATCATAACCATTAATTGGTTGTAACCTAAACACATTATGCAACAATGTAAATAAATTGCATTTTAATAATTATGATACTAATAACAGTTTTCATTACTGTGTTGTTCTTTTGTAACTTGGAGGGGAGGGGGCATTATCTCAACACTCGGAGTCAGATACAAAATCCACCAGCAACGCAACTATAATTCATTAACTTATGTTCCACTACATGTTTTGATAACCCTTATAGGGTCATCCTCAGGTGTTGTGATTTACCTCAGATTTTAGCTCACACTGAATCTCGTACATCACATCCCTGCAAACTACAAATCAGGCGTGGGTCTAGCATCCTCATTCAACATACATCAAAAGGAGTTCATAGCTCTTAGATGGAGATAAATTAAATTCTGCCATGTTTAACAAGATTCCTATTGCAGAATAATTTTATGCATTTATGAACTCATAATCAAACTGAAAAGAATATTCGATATGGGGTGATTCACTCAGAGGCAGACCAGAATTAATAATTAACACATTGAGGACCGGTCGCATGATATCATGCTTTTGGCTTTTAAACGTGGCGGACCAGTCACATGATATCATGATTTTAGGACATGTTAGATTGTAACACACTATACCTTGCTCTGGCACCACCCAAATGAATGACTACTGCATCAGCTAAGATTGGAGCTGAACATCCATTCATAGGACCTGAACCAGCCTGTGGCATCTCTATAGGAGTTACCAAACAGGCAATCAGGGACTGGACTAACATGAAACACAAGAAATACTGGGGATCCTTAATTGGACTCAGGCAAGTGAAGGGACTCATACGAGGACCTTCCATTAAAAGAGCAAAGGAACTGTTGAAATTAAACAGGAACCAGCTACGATGGGTGGTAGGACTACTTATAGGACACTGCCACCTCAAAAGACACCTATTCAAACTGGGACTAAGTGATAGTCCCACTTGTGAAAGGTGTCAGGAAGAAAACGAAACAGCCACACATTTCCTGTGTGAATGTGAGGCATTAGCTTATTTAAGACTACGTCACTTGGGTCAATACTTTATGGAACCAAGTGACTATTTTGACGTCCCCACGATCAAAATCCGGTGCAAGGGCCAAGAAGGCCTACCCCTCATACATCCATTCATTCATTCATTCATAGCATCAAATGGTATGAGGATAACTGAATGATGAATTAGGAAGGATGCTGAACGAAGAAGTCGTGGCCTATTTCAAGGTGTTATCCAATAATTTGGCTTGACAAACTGGGGAAAACCACAAAAGACCTCAGGACGCTCAAATTTCCTCACTGAGATTCAACCCAGGCGCCTCATGAATGAAAGTCAGAAGCATTACTGCCTGAGCCAACTTGCTCAGTCTTATCCCCCTAAAATCCATGTTATTTTCCCATCTATGTCAAGGTCTCTTCTTTAGACATTGTAAAATCAATATTCTCTATGAATTTCTCATCTCTCACATGCATTCCACATGCCTCGTGCATATCATCCTCCTTGATCTGATCATGCTACTAACAATAGTGTGAAGTACATTTGTTGTCAATCGTTTTCCAAATACTGTGTGGTCCCATTTTATGTAAACATGAAATAGTGCGTAAAAGAAATATCAATAAAAACAGTTAGCAGTGTCTTTACTCGACTCTTTGGCATGAGCGCTTTCTTTGGTTTTGGCTTCTTTGGGCTCAACCACGCTGCACTCTGCCGCTTTGTGAGAGGCTCATGTTGAAAACACCATGTCTTGTCACCAGTAACAATTGATTTTGTAAATTCTGTATCACTTTGGGCCAACGGTAACATGTCTTTGCAGTGTTCCACTCTGGCATGTTTTTCATCGCCTGATAGCACGCGTGGTACAAACCACGCACAGACCTTTCTGTTTGCCCAGATCCTCGGTCAAAATTTGATGCACAGTACTTTTTTGGTATTCCCAAAAGCTCCTCGATGAGTCTTGCAGAAACACATCTGTCTGATGCAAGGATTTCGGTCACGTTTTTCACATTTTCTTCAGTGCGACTTGTTCTCGGCTCTGATGCACGTGGAGCGTCTTCAATGTCTTCCCTGCTGTCACGAAATACAGCATACCATCAAAAAAATGTTTGAGCGACTCAAACAATCACTACCGTACACACTTTTCATCGTTTTGTACGCTTCTCCGGCCATTTTGCCTAACTTCAAACAAAATCTGATGTTGGTTCTCTGTTCAACCGCCATTTTCTGACGAGCGTCAGAACAGTACTGTTACATTCAAGGTCAGAACACATGATGCAGCCATGCTTGTGCTCTGAAATTATAGACAGCCACAGCTGAAACTTAAAGAATCTTAATGCCACAACTTGCCAATAGATGGCATTGCATGGCAAAATTTAAAAAAACGAGTCCCAATGGATCCTGGACACACCATGTATGCACATTGCAATTTTATTTTTTAAGTAACTTTATATAAAAACAGTACATTCTGTCCCTGAAATCTCTGCTGGTTGCACGAGAATCATGGATGCTTGGGTACTAAATAATGGGACTTCACAGTATTTGGTTTTAGAGAGGATAAAGGTGGCTGAAAGAGTGCAGGACAAGAACTGACCTGCGCAAAGAGCTGCTGTATCTGCTGAAACTTTGTGCTCTGGTTGCTGCTTGTCTTCTGACTCTTTTCTGTCAGTGGCAAGGGTATCACTTGCACCTGCAGACACATACAGACCACTGAGGCTAAAACACTCCAGCCATGAAGAGAGATCTATCTTCTGTGATGTATCATCATATAGTCTGTTGAAATTCAACTTATGTTTCAGCTACATGTTGGTTTTTTGCTGGGCTTATTCTTCAGTCTTGAAGATGGAGGTGAAACATTCCTTGAAAACATCAGCTAACTTTAATGGACTATATGGCATTATATCCCAGGACAGGGAACTCTTTGTAACCACCATTGTGAGAACTTGAAATGCTTAGTTTCATGATTTCCACGGTGGTGATCATTTAGATTGTGGTCTTCTGGGGCATGACACTGTACGAGTATAGCTTTGTAGGTGGATACAGATGTTTCAGAGGAAACTGCTGCCTCCATCTTCAGGGTTGAAGTGTATATGGTAACGAAGCGGCTCAGTCACATAGCCAAGTTCAAAGGAGGGTGGTCTGTCAAACCCAAGGGTGGGAATAAGGACATGAGCCCTCTGTGAAGGAACACAATACCATTTCCCTGAAACCTGATGTTTTCCTACCTACCATTCCCATTGGTGTAAATCAGGCAAACTTCTACTGGATGATAAAGTATCACATACTAGAACACAGTACCCTTCAACCTCAACCTATATTACTTCATATGGCAGACAAAATCATTCTTGTCTAGTGCCCCAGATGCAGCCAGTGTTTACCTGTTTGGTATTTGCCCACCTGTGCAAAGGGATATTCTGTTATCTCTAATGTGGGTGTAAATAATTGTAAACATGGGGGGGGGGCTTGTATTTTTTCTATTCCCAAAGTTTAAACTTTGGTAGAGACGAAGATTTTCAATATGGGAGCAGAAAAATCCATAAACATAAACATAAACTGAAGAATGGACTAAGAGCCTTCCAAATGCAAAGCCAGGACATTACCCCAGAACCACCAGTTCTCATGACAGACATTTTCACACCAATATACAAGGTAAGGTAAGTGTAACGCTACCCCTGTAACAGGTCACGGAGGCCCAAAGGGTTGTGAGACATCAATGCTCCCACATTTTCTAGACAATAGGCTCACAGATGGTAGTGAGGGTGTCAGCCTTACATGCCAGCTGCCCTTTACCCACAGGAAGGGTACTCATTTCTTTTGGAAGCTGAATCGACTACAGGCCCAAAGTGTGGCTGGAAGGATGAGGTTAACTGAAAAATCCAATGACCTCACTGGGAATCGAACCTGCGACCTTCCGGCTTGTATCATAGTCCCTCAACCAACCACATTACCACATACCCAATATACAACAAATTCAAATTACAGTTTTACTCCTTAGAAAGTATGACATAAATTCTTATTATCAATATAAGACTACAGAACTTACACTGTCACGGGGGCGATAATCAGGGACAGTTTCTTGAGACAGAAAAGCATATTTCTTGATGTTGTTATTGTTGGTTGTAGGAAGTGCTGCTATTGGAACCACCATGGCAGGAGGAGGTTGCGGCTTGTGCATCTGGATGGAAACACCTGCTGACAAACAGAGCATGTGATGGAGAACAAGAAAAACTGGGCTGTTCATATTCAAAAGCATTGTTCTCTATGTTAAATAAGTTGAATCAAGTACTGTACTGACAGATGAACTAACTCCATGAAGCTGAGACCTTCTTGTGAAGCCACCAGTCGCTCGTGCCTCCACTCACAAATTTCCCAACATTTTATGTATCCCAAAGTTTCATTACCATGTTCACATGAACCTGTTACTGGTCCCTATCCTGAGCCAGGTCAATCCAATCCATACCCCCATCCTATTTCTCTAAGATCCATCTTAATATTATCCTCTGACCTACATATAGGTTTTCCTAGTGGTCCCTTTCCTTCCAGATTTCCCAGAGAAATCCCACACACATTGTTCTTCCTGTTCAAAATCTGTACGAGTCCATTCCAAGGACTACAGCTGTACTGAAGGCAAAACTCGCTCAACAATATATGGCCACATGTACCCCCTTACACATGACATAATTGGTGTCAGAATTTGGCAGCTCATATAGTACTGGATTCTTCAGAATTTGATATCACTTTAAACATGCCTCGATCTAGGAAGAGTTATTGAATTCACAAGTACACCGAGTGTTATCCTGCCAAAATAAAATGGAAAAGCAAGAGATGAAGCAAATGATGGAATTCCTGCTGAAAGAATTGAGGTAAGCCTGGTAAGAAAAGATGGCTGCAGAAATGAGAGCCATCCAAGACAAGAGGAGGAAAGCCAACATGAATGACTGGCAGGAAGAGACGACAGCCTGCCAAGATGCAATGGAGATAAATCCAAGAGAAAAAGATAATGTAGTGGAGCGGCAGAAGATTCCTAATGAAGAGGTTGCAGTTCACTCCCTAAGGGCATGCTGAAAAGAAAGAATGACCTGCCAAGAAGAGATGGAGGCAGATACAGAGACGAGTGAGCCTAACTCAGAAATGATGCAGTCCATAGTGGAGCATCAAGATGTCCCCATGGAAGATGTCGTAGTGAAACCGGTCAAAGGACTGAAGATGCAGCATAGGGAAAAGAAGCAAGCTGTAGGGCAACATGGAGAGCCAAAGGAACTGACACGATGAATTTGTGGATCCCGGAGGAAGTTGGTTGCCACCTGCAGGAAGGTGTCCCACCGTGCAACAGTGGCATGGCACAAAAGGAACACCTTCAGGAAATCTTGGACCCAAAGAAATTATGAGCCATAGAAAGAAGTAACCGCATCCAGGAGGAAGACTACCCACTCTGGAGGACACAGATGTAAGGGACAAAACAAAGATGTCACATCAAGAAGCCCAAAAGGGGGGATGTTTGAGAAGAGACTGTGGAAAGGCCTGGAATGCAACACTGGCATAAGGGACTGAAGCCTTAGACAGCAACTACAAGGCAGAAATGGCGTGAAGGACCTAGGCGGCAGACAGCTGCAATATCTGAAGAAACCAGACCTGAAGGTAGAAATGGAGAGCACAGGAAACTTTGACATGAATTTCACGAAAACTACAAGACTGGAGATCTCCAAGCGAATGGTCAGATCTACTGTTGAGTTGTGGACAAAAAAGGATTGGACTTTGTGGAGGGGCTGACCCCCTCCAAAATGGGGGGGGGGAAAGAAGCATGAAACAGAGGAGGAGCCAGTAACATAGAAGTACCGGCCTCCCAAGCAAGAGTGAATTGGAGAGAGAGAGAGAGAAGAAAAAAATTTGGACAATGGCGATATATCTGGATGTCCTAGCACTTTAGCAGTGAACTGCTCAGGACGAGCTGGCCTTAAGGAGGAAGCGGATATAATGGTTGGAGCATAGTTGCTGCAAGAGGAGTAGCCGAACCACAAGATGCAACGAGCAGAAACCTTAGAAGAAAAGGAACATTGGTGCACCAATAGGCTATTCGGGATGAACAGCCTTAAGGAGGGAGCAATGTGGCATGTTATGTCATCCACTGTTGAGACCGTTGTGTAGGAATATCCGTAGCAATGAGTGTTCGTTGAGTAACAACGCTCGGTAAACACCCCTCCCCCTAGGCTGTGACGTCACACAACAGGGGAGTCCGTGCAGCGACTGTTGCTAGGCAAGCAGTAAATACGTTTTCTGTGTGGTCAGGGCAGAAGCTACATAATGAGAGTACTTGTCAGTATTGATGCAATATTGAGTACGTCTATTGAGTATGCAGTATTGAGTATCAGTTATGAGCAGTTTAGAGTGGCGGAAGCAAGCGAAGCGGATCAAGGTATACAGAAGATTGCCTGTGAGGATGTCAAGTTTGATTTAGAATACTTCATGTGTGCGACAGTGCGTGCAACAGTGGATTAGAAGATCTAGTGTATGTAAATCAGCGATAGAGCTGTAATTAGAGTGTAACTGAGAGAATGCACGTAGCCAAGCCGTTAATAAATCCAATCATCCAAGCCAGAATGGGTCATTTTGTCACGCATACCCTCCTACATGTGACAACATTAATATGTGTACAGTATCTGTAATATTTCCATTATTTTGTCCAGACACTGTATATTTAGTTTGGCCAAACTGATTTCTTTCAAAAGCACGATCTTCTTGGTTGTAACTTCATGTTGTTCAGTAGATATCCAATGACATTTCAGAGGAATGTATCCCCTCCATATTCAGGGTGAAAGAATTGAAAAAAACGATGAAGAACAATTTCTCTGTCAGAAACATTCAGACTCAGTTCCTTACCAGTGTTCAAGGACATGAGAACTGGGTTGCAGTTCCTCCCATTTATCCAGTCATGCGCTGAGACAGCCGGTGTGGGGGCAGCTGTGTCTGGAAACAAGTCCTCCTGAAATGTATCACTCTGCAACAAACAATAAGAAATCATAAACAAATTAAAGAACTTTTCCATCAAGAATACAACCAATGGTTATGAATGAAATAAAATTTCTTGTTCCATGTCAAAGATTTTCACAGAATTATGCAAAGTGAAGCTGCATTTCTCTGATCATTCATGATCATTCAGGGTGGCAGCAAGAGAGTGATCTATAGTGTGTTTTGTAAGAAATTTATGTTGCGTACAATAAACCCTTGCTAATCTGGATTCATTGGGAGTGGGGGGGGGGTCATCCAAATTAATGAAGCAAATGACAGCACTAAAAGAAAAACACCTAGAAAACAAATAAATGGAAAAGTTAATAATGTAGTGTGTGTTGATGAAAATAATAAAAAAAATCACTGCAGAAATTTCTTCCTCTGTCAGAAGCTGTAATCCAGGGTCTCCTTCATTCAGTTAAAGCCAGTCTTGGATATTTTCTTGCATGGGTTCAGTCTTTCCAGTTGCCCTCAACACAGTCTGAAAGTCCTCTTGCTCTAAGCCTTCTTGCTCCTAAATGCCTTGTGTCTTTTTGAAGTATGTACTCAACTGTGAATATAATTTTTCATTTTTCATATTTCACTCCATATTATCTGATATCTGGATTAACTTTAACCGTATTAACTAGGGTTTACTGTAGATGTTTTTCTCCATACTTATTTATTTATAAATATAACTTGAATATATAAGAAAATATATAAAATTACTGCATGAAACATTAGCAAAATAACTCAAAAGCAGAAATATCAAAAGTGTATCAATATCAGTTAAATAGAATAATATGATGTATGTGACCATAGTCACTTGCAAAAAGGCGTGTTGTTAACATGGCTAGAGCAACAGAACTCAATTAAGCAAGAGTTACTTGCACGATGTTCTGTGAGATGACCATATGAACAGAAGCACAAAGGGAACTAAATTACAAACATGCCTATAACAAGAACAGTTACAGACACAATACAGGCTCAACTCTGGCTTCAACATACTCAACAGCCTTTAGGGCTAAACATACAAAACTGCCACAAGAGGCTGACTGAAACATATCAAACAAAACATACAATTTGCATCACACTTACAGGAATTCCACACACAGAGAGACATAAAACATAATGTCACATGTTGGGTGGGTCACACTTCACGCCGTTCTGGATCTAGCGAATTTATTGCACATTCACTCTTACAATTACACAATTTACAGTTTCACAAGTACTGCCATCGGCAGTATCACAATTAATTCTCCATTCACTCCGGCGAATGCTAGACTGCAACTGACTGGTTACTCTCTCTAGTAACCGGCTCAATACTCACTATTCACTACTTATGCAGCTTCCGCACTGACAACACAGAAAACAGTTACGTGATAGCTACCACTGTTGCGTAACGTCATGTTTAGAGGCATTGCTGGGGAATGCTGCCAAGAGTTGTTTATGGCTGCATAGTAACCGCGGTATCCCCTGTTATGTCACAATGGGAAGTGCTGTTATGTCACCGCGGGAGACGACGGAGTGTTTACTGAGCACTGTGTAATAGTGGAAGGGGTGGGGGTATGTGACGTCACTCGCGAGACCACAGAATTCACATGACCCCTACATCCTGTTGCGCCATCCATGTCACAATAATTTAACCAGAACTACCACACATTACTACAAAACACAACCCTGAGATATAACCAAGCACATATCCGCTTGGTATGAAAGTCTCCAGTGAAAGAGAGAGAGAGCAGTGTTGCAACAAGTGGCTCCTAGGTCAAGAAAGAGAGACAGCTGTGTCTCAATGAGTGTCTTCTAGGTCAGGATATAGAGTCAGCTGTGTCTCAACAAGTGGCTTCTAGGTCAGGAAAGAGAGTCAGCTGTGTCTCAACAAGTGGCTTCTAGGTCAGGAAAGAAAGTGAGCTATGTTGTTACATGTGGCTCCCAGGTCAGGAAAGAGATGAGGAAGTCTGTGATTTGAGGAACAAAGGCAGGTGATGAGGATGCAGGAAACAGGGATGCCACACAGGAAAGAACATGTAAATGACTTGTGAGACAAGGATGACAACACCAGGGGTACAGCAATAGCCAATTCAGCCTAAGAGATCCGTTCAACTTCTGGTTTCTTTAACAAGGCACTCAGTACATCAGAGCATAAAATGTCATATATCAGTGAACACCGTGGATGTGAATGAAAACAGTGTGGTCTAATTTCAGGTGCTTTCTCAGTGCTTTCCCAAAGAGACAGAGAAAACTGGTGACGATACCCTACATCAAGCATCATCTGATCTTGGCCACCATAGGGATAGTGAAAATGGTGTCCACATATACTTCCAAACCATCTTCATAATATCCTATAATGTACTAGTTGGTACATATTAATCGACATTTACTTTGTCTCTTGATTTCCATATTTAAGCAAAAGTCAGGTAGGCACAGAGGACATGACTCAACAGAGAAAGTTTAAAATTAAGGAAGTAGATGAGTGGTACATAGATCAGACAGAACAAATACATACATAATTTTTAAGGAAAACTTTCTGAAAGCAACTGCCTCACATACTCTGAAGAACTGGGTGGACTGTATAAAAATGTATTTCAATTAAACATATTAACGAAGATGTGAGCTGAACTGGCTCAGTGTAGAGATAAATGGAGCACCTTGGTGGCATGATGGTGTTAAACATTCAGAATTTGTCACTGATAAACTAGTTTGCTTTTATTACTGAGGGCAAAGTTAATCATTCTGGTATCACTGTAATTAAAAAGAAATGGTAAAAGATGTGTGAACTATGAAAAGCAGAATAAAGGGAGTATATCACATACACCGAATGATGTCACTCACCTTGCGAGGCACAATCATGGAAATAGGTTCACACATGCCCTTGGTAGCATGAAGTTTGTAGAACCGGAAGATTTCACACTGTGTAGTATCACAGCCCCTCTTTGGCATGAAGCCCAGTCCACGCTATAACAACAATTATGATGCATTCAAGTAACACATGAAAGGAGCATATATAATCTGCATCATCAATTCTTTCCGAGTGTAAAAGATGTTCCATGGCCATAACCCACTCACTCTGCACAGCAGAGTCCCTCTTAACAAACTACTGCTCATGGAATTCCCAAACTTTTATGATACCAAAAGTTCATTTTCAATCTCACAACTCAAGTGTTCCTACCATGTAATTATTTTAATATCAGTTTAACATGATTCCAGGTTATGACATGGTGTGTGAGGTACAATTAATTCCATTTTCATCTATTTCATGCAACTTCAGTTAACACCTAAATATACAGAATGTGCTAAAATTCATGCCTACAGACTCCACCACAGGATTGCTTGATTAACACTAAAATCAAAATGTTCCTCGACAAAATCTCTCATGGAAAATGTGAGAAAACGTAGATGAGATCTGGGCACACAGCATGTTCCCCATAACAGCATTTTCCATTAAAATTATATGCTGGCTCAAAATTGTTTAAATCCTGGCCAACAGCAATCCCAACCAATGCTTTTTCAGCTGGCACATGCTGGTACATGTCGGTAAACAATTTACGTGGACCAGCAACCCCATTAAGCCACACACCTGCCGATGCATTGCGGCTAAAGCAAAGATTAAGAGTACTGGCAAATGTGGTTTAAGAAAAGAAAATGCTGATCCCATCCACATATTTTACAGAATACAAACTATGTTTAGGAGCCAGGATAGCATAGTTGGCTCAGCGACTGGCTACAGACTAGACAACCAAGGGGTTGGAGTTTGAGTCCCAGTAGGATCAAGAATTTTCTCTTCTCCACATCCCCCAGACTGGCTCTGGGGTCCACCCAACCTCCTATCAAATGGGTACCAGGGGCTCTCTCCCAGGGGGTAACCAGGCCGGGGAGATTAGCTGACCACTCACCTCCAGCTAATGCCGAAGTCAAGAAAATGTGGCTCTAACATCCACTACCCAGACACCTGCATGGCACGGTGCTTAATTAGTTAAGCACAGGGACAACTTCACCTTACAACATATGTTTATACAGCTAACCTAGTATTAATACTAGGTTAGCTGTATAAATGTAGTTTGTGTTCTGTTAGTGAAATCAAAGACTTTCCTAGAGGCAGGACCTGTAGCATGCATAGATGGAAGAACTGATGAAGCTGCATCAGAAAAATGAAGTAGTTCGGGGGACAATACTGTTAGATCTTAGAGGCGCTGGATATGAACGAACTGAATCAGTGCAAGATTCATATGGGGGCGTTTTGGTAGCCTGGCGGGTGGATACCAGTGTTTCTGAGGATCATATATTCCCCCAAACATGGTACCGACCTACAAGACAACATGACATCATGACACAAGAAACCACAATATGAATTTTCAATGCATGAAATCTTTATTTCTTTCAAAGTGCTGGATTGCATCTGGCAGCATGGAGTGCTGATTGCATTACTGAAGGAAATAGACAATGGAACTTCAAGTTCCTCTGATCCAAAATTATAAAACTGTACTTATGCTTCACACATCTGCATGCCCCTCAACTCAACCATTACACCACCACTTGCGACCATAAGCCTCCAAGAGAGGTGATGCAAATCAAAACACATTCCACAGAGGAAAACCCAGCACCCTTCATCATCCAGGAGAATATATACACAGTTTCAAGTTAAATGTGAAGCTGTGTACCTGGGGTGAACCTGACGTAAAGTTTGACCATGGCTTGAAAAATCCAGTCATCCATGATGATTCAAAATTTTGACATGGCAACTGAAATTAAAGAAATAATTGTACCTCTATTTATTATTTCTGGGAACATGAAAAAATATTATTTATCATACACACACACTAATTCATAGTGTAATTATTTTATTCTTAATAGCTCTGGTTTCATTTATATTCAGTTTGATCTTTCCACTGAAGAATTTCAAATATTTGCTCCACAAGATTTCATGTTAAGAACGATTTACAAAATAAATTGAAAGAGTTTATTATACAAATTCACAAAAAGCTATACTACTGACACAAATGTTGGTTCCACTATTCCAAACATATATTCTGAAACCAAATTTTGATGGACACTTTCTTTGTGTTATTTCAGACACATCAGGGAGTAACTACATACATCCACAGAACAATCCTTTAAATATAACAGTGTTTTCCAGCATGTTACAAAAGTATATGAAATGAAATATTTCTCACAGAAGAATTTCCTGCATACAGGAAAAACTTCTTGCATTGCTGTCAATATGATAAAAGACAAGGAATGCTCTCCATATGAAAGAACATGACAGATGAATTATACGCACAATACGCACCTACATAACCACTGTATACAGCTGCAGTTAAACACATGCAATACTTTCTTGTGCAACATGTACATCACTTTACACACCATTACATTTACTTCCAGCATAACTGCTATCAGTGTTATACAATAATGAATGTTTGCAAGTTTATTTTAAAGCTATGTACATTGGAACCTCTATATTACAAGAACCTATAAAATTCCTAAGAATGCTCATTGTAATTGATACCTGCAACATCTGAAAACTGCTGAAATATGTAACTACAAGTGTATGCCCCAACTTTGAATTTAATACTGTCATATGTTTGTGACCAGACACAGGGTTTGGATTGACGAGGGGATTCACTGAATACTAAAAACTCGAAAACTAAAAATCGTTATAACTCTCACACTAATCTACACACTTTACAACTTCTGTCTTGACTAGGCATTGTTAGGTAGCAGCTTCTGACACTGGAGATTTCTCCAGTTCTGTGCTCATGTTCTTGCCAGCTGCCAACTGTCTCACTATCAACACAATAAATTGAGGGTTCCAATGGCTTTGTGAGTACAGTGATGTACCCACCATAAGCCATGCTCACAGTAACATCGTTTTGTGTCAGGTGAGGTACTTCAAATTAGCAAGTCACATACTATTACAGTAAATCAACACACAGTTGTGGTGCACCTGAGTGTGAAGCACTGCTTTAGCTTTTCTTCTTAGTTTCACACTTCAAATTTTTGCATTTTCCACTTGTATTTTTGCTTGATGCATGTGTAAACTGGCTTTCTAATCAAACGCTGTATCAAAGTTGCAGTGTATGTATGTACTGGTTGTTAATCTTGTTATATCAGTTTCTAACAGCTGCAGAATAGTGTTCCTATTGGACTGAATAGGCTTCTATCCCCTCTCTCCCTCCCAGTGTCCTCACCAGTCATCATCCTTCTCAACCTTCCTACATATCCTGGCTCCATTTGCTCCCAGATCACTTCAACCCTTAAGATGGAAGCAACATGTTTATTTGAAACACTGGTATCCACTTACAAGAGTACAATGTGTCACAGCCTAGAAGATGTAAATCTGAATGACTACTAAAGGCATGAATTAATGATCTTCCACAACTGGTGAAGAATTAGAAATATTTCAAGAGGCAAAAGAAATAAAAAATTGTGTTTCTGGCAGAAATATCACGTTTGTTCACAGACATATCACACTGTTATTTCTACAATGTTAACATTCATGTGAGCAGGGTACTCCAGGGAAATGTCGGTGTGCACCATTTCATGGCCTGACTGTTTCTTGAGAAATGAGTGAAGTGTACTGTGAAAGATGGGAGGCAACACGAAACCAGGACCAAGAAAATGGATACGAGATGCAGCTTCACATCAGAGGTCTGTCTGTGGCTAGGCAGCCAGTCCACGAATTTCTATTCCATTTATCTGCCGGAGTTTAGTAGTAAAATTATGACACAGTACTGAGAGTTATCTTGATCTTAGTCATTTCAGCAGGCTGTGCCATAGCTCGGGCCATTACCTGCTGGCTTCTCACTGTGGCAGCCGGGGTTTGATCCCAGGTCGGGTTATTCAGGATCTGTTGCAGACAAAGTGGCACTGGGGCAGGTTTTCTCTGACTATTTCAGTTCCCCTGCCAATTCCCACTCCATTGACTTCTCCTCACTCACCATCTATCATCCTGGACTGGTACAATAGGCCAAATTGTGGCCAATGTACTAAGTCAACTCAGTTTCACCCCACTCCAAGAAATTAATTATTTAATTATTCATTTCAGCAAGTAGCATTTGAAGAGTGACACGGCTACCCAATTCAACTTCAGACAGTTTATAAGCCAAACTAACAACTGTCTTTGGATAAATCCGTGATTCCTTGGAGGGGAAGGCTTCGTATGCGAACACATAATCCTGGGAAACTTACAAAGTATGGCCTACTTGTTCATGTAGTTACTGAAAGCACTTCAGGCTACATTTGAAATTTAGAATTTTATTCTGGTGAAGGAAAGAAATTACAAGAAACTATTCTTTCCATTTTGGAACCCTATCTTGATCAAAATTACCATGTCTATCAAGACAATTATTATAACAGTGTGGTAACTGCAGAACACATACTTTCAAGAAAAGTACGTCTTTGTGGAACAATTAGGGTGAGCAGAGGCCTTCCTCCAGATCTGAAAGAGGAATCTAAATCCCTGAAACGTGGTGAAACCACATTCAGGAGGAAGGGGGATATTCTTCTTCAGTTCTGGAGGGATACTCTTGTTGTGAACATGATTTCCACACTTCACAATTCGAGCATTGTTGATGTTCAAAGGAGACATGGACAGGTAAAGAAGCCTGTTTGTATTTCCGAGTATAATATGTTCATGAAGGGAGCTGATAAAACCGATCAGTACTTGGCCTATTATTCTCTTCCTCGGAAAACAGTAAAGTGGACAAAGAAAGTTGCCTTGTGGCTTAAAAATTATGCCATTTTCAATTCATTTTTGGTTTTCAAAAATCTAAACCCTCATTCAAAACTGAAACACAAGGCATTTCTGCTGAATGTGGCAAAAGCCTGGGCTACAGACCAGATGGTGGCGGCAGAACGAATGTCAGACACAGACTTAGTGCAACCGGGTCCATCAACTCCCACCCCACGCAGGCCTCATGTGGACACCCCTGGGCGACTCTCGGGTGATATGCGGAAACATACCGTCGTGAAAATTGTGAAGAGTGAACATTCCAAGGGGAAGCATCGTGGGCAATGCTGTGTTTGTGCAGTTCACAAAAAAAGGACTATGACTGTCTACATTTGCAAGTGTGTAATGCCACTTCACAAAGGGGAATGTTTCCAGAAATATCACACTCTCAAGCACTTCTAGGAGCATTGGTAAGTGTTCTCCAAAAATTTTAGTTCATAAAATTAATTAGGAGATTTTATATTAATTTTAAAGTGAACAGTGCACAAGTTAGGATAGTAGATTTAATAATGGCAGCCCCAGGGTGATTTAAATATTTTAATCGCAGGTCCGCAATGTGTTAAGTAACTGGGTGTGCAGAACATGCAAAAAATTACATTCAAAAACAGAATATTCCCACCTGAATAGTCAGGTTCCATCTATGCTGACATTTAGAACTCTTACAAGTTTCAGAGTCTACATCTGTTCACCACAATGTGCAGAGATAAATGAAGATGGACTCCACCTGCAATGCTAATAGATGCATACCTGAGGGGAGCCAGAGAGGAACTGGTTCAGGTAGTGCAGCCATGGTGCCTGGTCCACTACCTCATAGTACCGTATGTTTCCATCCCCCTGAAAACATATGGCTTCATCAGCAGGGTGCACTAATGTGGCAGAATAACATCTAACACAAGAGAAAAGTGAATAAACATGTTTCATCCTCAATTGCAAGTAATACATAGCCTTTCTCTCTCTGACTTCATATGATCTTTTTTAAACCTAAAAATAGATATGTGAAAAATATAGAGAAGATTCATATATTACAGAAATTACATTGCCACAATTTAGGGCTTACTATAAATAGGGTATGGATTGGTGAATGTATTTACTGTTCACTTCTACACACAACTCACAACTACAAGCAATTACAGTGCTATCGCTAATCTCCACACTTTACAAATATCTAGCACAGGCGAAGTTTTCTCCATCTTCACTAGTTGTACAGTCTTGCTCTAATTACAGTACACATAAAGTCTTCTTTTCAAAGCCAAACTTCCAAAACACACAATTCCCCCCTCCTCTCTCCACCTCGACATTTCCAACAGTACATGTACTGTTGTGGACATATTAATGTTTACCGATCCATTTGCTAGGAACGGGCTGTATAACACCATTGTTTATTCACCTATTCCATAGCAACGGCTGTACATGCTACAATATAAATACTGAAGAAATGCAGCAACAGTACATTAAGGTGGTGATGCTGTTAAATGGTAGGAGGCAAAACAGCGACACCTTGATAGAACTGGCCAAAGTACAGCCAATTTTATGGGTTTCACTGGCTTTGACAGAAGCTGCAATGCACATATAAATTAGCCAAGTCATGAAATGTCCTTCAGAAAACCTTCTTGGATTCCATCCAGATGTTGATGAGAGATTTCCATAACCCATTAAGGGAGACATCTTCACTATTCACACTGCTTGGGATGAAGCCACCTACCAGATTACATGGTATCACAATCCCTAACATCACAATTACATACATGTATGTGAAGGTAGCTACTATGGTATGAATCTGCATTTGATCATTAAACAGAACTCACCTTTCCTGCAAGGAACACTATACGAGTGTCATGGTCATAGTAAGGAAAGAGAACCCCTGACGAACAGTCAATAGTTTCAATACACAGTGGAGCTGAGAGGTCATTCTGGCTCCAAACAGCATACTGGCGGTCCGAGTGGCGGGAAAAGCCAGTAGTCAACACACGACCAGTGTTACCAAGGAACACTACTTTGCATGCCTTTGTGCCAGCATGGCACACTCCTTCCTATGCAGATGGACAAACACACACCATGTAACAATGCCAGCAATTATCCAAAAAATTTATGTTTCATACATTTCTTGGTGCATGTGAATGCCCCCCTACAGTATCACAGCAGCATGTTATCACTCTACACCCTATCATTACATTACATCCGTACACAATTTTTATTCATTTATGCTTTATTTAATGATGTCAGCAGCCAAGGTTATGTAGTGTTAACTGGCATGACAATCAGTAAATAATGAATTGTAAATAATGTAGAAAGAACTGTCTGTCATCTAATTTGAGGTACTATTCTGGCATTTGCCTGTATAAACAAAACAAAATCACAGAACATGAGCCAGGCCAGGTGAGCAGGTTGGCTGAGGAAGCACACCTATGTTCTGTTGGCCAAAATGTCAAGAGTCAGTAGCAACGCATGAACTGGTGTACTGTCATAAAGGAGGAACCAGGGGTTGTTTCTCCACAACCGAGGTACTTTTTGCCTGATATCGTCTCTTAGACATTTCAGAACTTTGAGATAATACCAGCGATTCACTGTTTTCCCCTGATGTAAGAATTCATGATGCTGCCTTTTCGATCTGGGCAAATTTTTTCAAACCCATTGTGAAGACTGTATTTTCATTTCCACATTGTATCCATAAACCCATGTTTCATCAGCGGTTATAATTCTTTTCAGAAAGTTTTCATCCTCGCTAGCACGATCCAGAAGTTCCCGACAGAGGGCAACACAACTGTCTCTCTGACCCTGTGTCAGAAGTCATGGGACAAACTTTGAAAATACCCTATGCATTTCTGTGTTTGTCATAATAATATCATGACATGATCTTATTGAAACGTTGCACTCTTCTGGTATTTCCCGCACAGTCAAACGACGATTAGAATGCGCAATTTTATGAACTTGTGCGAGTGTCATCACATGATGTTGGGGACCGTCCCAAACCTGGCTCATCATGTGTTGACTGTTGACCATCCTTAAATCAATTAAACCATTCATAACAATGTGTATGGCTCATGCACTGACCACCATTAACGTTTCTTATCATTCCATGTGTCCCCACAAACATTTTCCCTCGTTTGAAGCAAAATTTAATGTTAATACGCTGCTCATGAATATCAACCATCTCGAATATCGCAAGACCAAGTCTACATGCATGTGAACAAATAGCACTGGGGCGATGATTAATCACAGCAGGATGACATGGCAAAAAGGATGATAATTAGGGAGCACGCCACTAGGCAGCACAACTTACCCAACATTGCTAAGATGTTGAGTTGGCGTGCTACTTCAAAAGTTCTGAAACTTTCTGAACAGACCACATATTTACATTGGACCAAGCACAGTCCTGCATTCATCCACATTTGTAATTTGTAACCAGAACTTACTGAGAGAACAATGCCTCGACGTGGTTCAATAATTCTTAGTTTCTTGTCCTTGCAGGTGGTAGCAATAAGTGAACCATCTCGGTTAAATGACATAGAATAGATGACATCTGGATGGCAGTCGATCACATTGACCGCTTCCCCACAGCCAACATCCCAAACTATCATCTGAAACATCACATAACAGTCAATGTAAGGTACATCAGTGATCCTCAATCTTTTGCATCTTGAACCCTCACCTGCCATTTTGTCAACATCCTACAGTGACACCACAGTAAAAATGGAGTTTCTCTTGAAGAGTTCTATCTGCTGGAATACAATGCCATGTTCTCTTTTGAGAGTCAATCGGTGTTCCTGAAGAATATGTCACCTCCATCTTCAGGGACAAAAAAAAACTTGATGCTGGTTCTTTTGCTTGGTTTCTTCTTTGATGACACGGCGCTATATCCCAGAAAACAGAACTCTCCATAACCACTTCTGTGAGCGCCTTCAATTCTACAAAGCTTCTCTTTTCCCAAGAAGTGTATTTTTACAATTATGCACATTTCAGTATAACATTAATCATTAATGGAGGTTTGTTAACAACTATAGACTGCAAAAATCACTGACACATTCTACTAAATACTACAATTATGTAAAAACAACATAGTTCTGTTAGCAGTAGTGTTGAGTAACTTTACTGAAGAGTTTTCAAGATATTAGCACAAGGAAACATTCCACAGCAGAGACAAAAAGCTTTAATACAGGGAAGTTTTTGTGTGACTAAATTAATTATTATTTTCAAGACCTCTCACTCCACTAAGCATGCTGTCAGATCACATCAGTGGGATCTGCCTGACACGTTGGGGAACACTGGTGCCCCATATAAGAAGGAAGAAGTGATGTACAGCTAGCCGTACAGTGCTTCTCGAGTCTTGACCTAGTACAGTTGCATGATTCCCAGAGTCGATTCAGTAAGATGTGGTCATGAGTCCAGCGAGATTTGGAACCAAGAATGACTGTACTGGCTAGGACCAGCAGCAAGTCACTGGACAGCTGGCTACACAGCACAATTACCACACCAAGCTGCAGCTGCTGCATGTACTTACCAAATGATCAAAACCTGCACTGACTAGGATATTCTCTGCTGTTGGATGCCATTCGATGTATCCAACGCGGCGCTTATGCCCATGAAGGTCAATGAGCCACTCTGACAGATGTGTGGCCAGTCCTCCATCAGGAATGTACCACAATTTGACCTGAAACAATTATAGAGATAACAAAACTTGCTGGCTCCCATCTGATGCCAGACACTTTCAGAGTTCCACTGCATGCAACCTTAATGCTGTGTACATTCTTAGAGGCTAACAGACCAGTATTTACAGCAAAATCCCCATTTAACCCCTTACAGCACACTGGTAACAACACATATAACAGGCTTTAACATTCAATCTGTGTGCTTCATATGATTCTCAGAACAAGGAGCAAATATTTCCTTGAACCGGTCTTCATAAGGGACACAGTGCGGTGCCTGTGAGCAGGAACTGAACTTTTCAGTATTATTTTGAAAATATCTGTGTTGAAAAGGGTTAAGATTTGTCTGGGAAGCCATTAATTCAAATAGTAAACTGTGGAAAATTTTAAATGGAGAAAATTTAACGCTGAGATTATTTGAGATGACTGAACTTTAATGTTAAATGTGAGAAATCAAGAATCATTAAATGGGGGTTCCAGTGTACCAAAACAGGCTGAGCAAAACGAAGATTGAACATATAACTGTCATGAGCCTAAGCACTGTGCCAATTAGTGACCCACTTGGTTAACTATAAACAGCAAAGCACATGAGCTAAATGAAGGTTTCATGGTGGGGAAAGGCAAAGATCAGAATGGTCTAACTAACAGCACTGCTTTGCTTCTCTATATCACAGCTATTTGTACAAAGTATACAACAGCTTTTCTTTAGTGTACATTAAGTATCGTCTTAGTACAGATATTCTCGAGAGTTGTTTCAAATTAAGGGAAATAATAACTATTAATACTGAAGGGATAAATACAATTAACAAAGTTAAACAGCTCTTTGATGTAGAAATGTAGGTTGAAATTTAAAATAACCTGAAAACCCAAAAATGCAATAAAATTTGCCAGTGAAGGTATTGCCCAAAGTGCAGAAGTGCAAAGATAATCACTAGAACTGCATTATTATCAAAGAGAAGGCATTTCAGGCAGATATATCAGACTGATTTGAAAGCACTCCAACTTTTAAATATGGGTAAATTGGAAGGCAAGAATTTAGTACAATATTTCACATGCATAAAGCAAACGTCTGAAAAATATAAAAAATGCAACAATCATTTCATCAGGATCAATATCACAGTTATGGCTTTGCAGGTATGAAGACATAACTTCCAGCAGTGCCTATAAAATCTGGTGCATTACGTTTACAGTACATAAAGCCATAAAGAAAGAGACAACTAGGAAGACCAGAACATAGGTGGATGGATAATATTAAACAGATTTTCGAGATAGCATGGGGTGGTATGACTGGATTGATCTGGCTCAGGATAGGGACCAGTGGGGGCTCTTGTGAACATGGTAATGAACCTTCGTGTTCCATAAAATAATGGGAAGTTCTCGAGTAGCTGCACAATTGGCGGCTTCTTAAGAAGGGCTCAGCTCCATGAAGTTAGTACATTATCATCAACTTGCATCCTATTACTGCACACACAGTACAGCTGAGCTGACAGTTAACAGCCATTCACTGATGAACAACAAATGTAGTGAACTCTCCTATCACAAGGGTTTCAAGATTCCAGCACACCTGTCATACTAGTTCAATCCCTGTATGGACTTTCCTCCTCACAGGCTGAAATATTCACCTCTGCCATAAAAATACTTTGGGAATGTGAAAAATAACAAGTGTCACCATGACCTGGAGCTGATGTTAAGCTGCAAGACCCCTTTACAAACCATGTCTCATGATTACCCCATCACAGGGGTAACAGAATGCTCTGTAGGTGCCCCCACCTCAGAGATAGATTTTGTGCCCTTGAACAGGTAGGCAGAGATCACAGAGGTCAACATAGCCCACATCTTGGACATCAGACACACAAGTGTCTGAAATCTTAAAACATTAACAATCGTGAAGGTCTTGATCTGTGTGCACTGAATCTATAATCCAGGTCCAGCATACAGCTCTCTTTACAAACACCTCATTAATAAACTTCATTTCAAATAACGAAGGATAGGCCCATGCAGATGTACACAGTGTTAACATAAGCACTGTCTCCACAAAGCAACTGCTAACCTCTCATGCTTTCAGAAAAGCATGTATTACGCTGGGATCAAATTTTTGATAATCTGCCATATGATTTCAAAAGTCTTATGAATGAAAAGGCACAATTTAAAATAGTGCTGAAACAATACTTAATACACACACTCGTTCTACACTACTGATAAATACTTACCATCTAAAAAGTGACTCATCCATTTAAAGGCTGTATAAAAAACATGAGTTTACAGTATAGATGTATATATGTGGACATATTTCTCACTAACCTCATGTGTAACCACTCTGTTTTCTTGTGTGAAAACTTCAGTTGTACTGTACATATGTTTTTGTATTTATATGATATATTCCACATCTTACAGTCATTTTGACTAACTCTGGATCCAGGGAATGCAATGCAATGTTAATGTAATGTAATGTAATGATAAATATATACTGCTCTGTGCGAGATCTGACACTCTCATAATTATGTGCATGAAGAACACTACCTTCGCAGATGTGATACCATAGAGCCTGCCAGAACTTTGCCCATATTCGTCTAAAACACTGGTAAACTTCTAATGAGATTCCTACAAATGTCACTACACTTCTACCAGACTGCACATCTTCACATCTCGCATTCAATATTGCATAGCTATAGAGTTATCTTAATACTGTCACGTGTCTCACCACTGGGGATGGATACCAAGTGTTGCGTAATGATGGAAGGAGTGGGGGTATGTGACATCACTCGCAAGACCACGGAGTTCACGTGACCCCTACTTCCTGTTGCAATGCCTGGGAGTGAGCAAGACATGAACCATGCCCCTGCGCCCACAGTTGGACGGCATGGTGGGACGCTACATTAAGACCATCAAGGAGCATTTGTTGAAGGTCGTCGCATCCCACCAGAGGGACTGGGATGAGAGGTTATCCCTCTTTCTCCTAGCCTACAGGGCATCCACTCATGACACTACGGGCTTGACCCCTCCTGGCGTAGTGTTCGGACAAGAACTCCGACTGCCCTGCGAATTGCTTTTTGGGGTACACCTAGACAAGGAACCACCCACAACCAATTATGTAGCAGACTTGGTGGATCATCTACACGACATCCACAATAATGCCCGACAACACCTGAAGCTCACCAGTAACTGGATGAAAACTCGGTATGATAAACTGGCCAACTCCGCAGGTTACCACGAGGGCAACAGAGTTTTGCTTTATCGTCCAGCCCGCATGAAAGAGAAATCACATAAACTTCAATCCTCGTGGGAAGGCCCTTACAAAGCAATAACCTGGATAAATGATATGGTATACAGAATCCAGAAGAATCCTAGGTCAAGAATGTTGGTAGTACACGTGGATCGGCTCACGCCTTATCATGGAGCTGCTCAAGACAAGCAACCATAAGAAGGGGGCAGATGTAGCAGTTGGAGAATGGACAACGGGAAGAAAAATGAACGGGGATGTACCGTTAGGCTGTTTGGGACAAACAACCTTTAGAAGGGAGCAGTGTAATGTGGATGGTGCAACAGGAAGTAGGGGTCACATGAACTCTGCGGTCTCGCGAGTGACATCACATACCCCAACTTCTTCCATCATTATGCAACGCTCATTAAACACCCCTCCCTGCGGTGACATAACAGGGGACACCACGGTTACTACACAGCAACAACTATCGGCAGCGTTCACCAGAAATGCCTGTAAACATGACGTTACACAACAGTGGTGGCTATCACGTAACTGTTTTCTGTGTTGTCAGTGCGGAAGCTACATAATGAGAAGTATTCGTCAGTGTAGCCAGGGTTACTATAGTAGTGAGTATTGAGTTACGAGTTGAATTGAAGCAGTCGCCAAATTGTGAACGTGAAGAAGACCGGAACGTGTGATTAGAGGTGATAGTGTGAGAAGGTATTGGGAGTGTGTAATACAGTGACACTGGTATAGCTCCCGTATTGTACTGTGAATAAGTGAAGACTATTGAAGATAGAGTGAACATATTATCATGTAGGGTTTATAAATTGTGTTAACCCACAACTGTGTTATAATTAATTGTAGTTACGATTTGTGGGTTGTTAAATAAACCAATTAACAATCTGAACTGCGTCTTCAGTAGCAAAACATGTTACAACACTTACTGTACAATCATCTGAACATGAAGCAATGATGTTGTCATTGAAAGGGTTCCACTTCACATCCAGAACAGGGCCCCTGTGTCCTGTTATTCGACTTGCATTGAAGTCTAACCTTCCTGTCTGCAACACATACAAACAAAGTGACCTGTTGATATTATCAATCATAAAACGTTCATATATATTTCATCAAATAACAGAGAAGTGTTATATGAATTAATGAATCGATAAGACTAAGGCAATGAAACTAAAACAGTAATAACAAGCAGATGGCCTACAGAACTTAACATCTCTGGAACGTCTGAAAGCGATTATACATGTAGAGATCTAGAGGTGTGTGGGAGGTGAAGGTGAGATTTGATGAAAAGGGAGTGGGGTGCTATCCAACAAGGGGCAATCATGTGGTTAAGGAAAAATGGTGAGAAAAAATTTTGAGACCAGGCAGTCAGGAAGATGGAGCCACAACAGCCCAGCTAATATAACAGCTGCTTAAGGGATAGACAAAGGAGAGGTCATAGTTTGAGTTCCTGTAGGGTCAAGAATTTTCCCTCCTCTATGCCATCCAAACCTGTCCTAGGGCCCACCCAGTCTCCTTTCCAATGTGTACCAGGGGCTCTTTCCTGGGGTTAAGTGGCTGGGGCGTGAAGCTGACCATTCACCTCCAACTAATGCCGAGGTCAAGAAAACAGGGATCCATACATCCACTCCCCATATGCCTTCATGGTGTAGTGTTTAATCAGTTAGTTACACAGTCAGGAAAAGGTCATGAAGAAAGTTTCAGTGAGACTGTGCTTAGGGCAAAAGGTGATGGAACGGATTCCTTAGCAATCACATGGTAAGGAGAAGAGGTGAGGTAAAAGGTTCCAGCAGCCATTTGATTATTAAAGCTATGCCTTGTAACTGTAACTCTAAGAACCAAACTTCCATTTAGTTCCACTGCTATATTCAAACTTCCTCTGACCTACACAGCATTCTCACTAAAGAAAGCTCACTTACATTGTGAATGGGAAGAACGAGAAATGTGCCTCCACCTGCAACCTCTGTAACAATAGCCACAAACTTGGGATTGGCAGCACAGAAGTTGGAGTCATGTGCGTTCTTTGTGATCTTAATGTTCTCATAGCAGCCTTCACGTTTAGCTGGGCGCCCGTAAACGTGACGGAACTTGGAGCTCCGCACTCCACGCCACCACAACTGATTAAGAGAAATGTAATTAATGGCACCATGCCTAAAATTGTGTTCTGTTTAGCCTATGTGACAGAAAAACACTACATCATCATATGCATTAAAACACATGATCTATAAAATGGACTTCATTTACATACAGCATATCATTAAAAACGTGTTCCACTGAATAAGATTTATAACTTGCCAAATCTGTAACATATGTAATATGCAGTACCAATCGCAATGCCAACTACCATCTTTATGTACATATGTATATAAAGATGGTAGTTGGCATTGCGGTATACGTATATGTCTACATTCCCCTCACTGTGCTACGAACAATAACAAAAAAAAGTTTGTTTAAAAATTAATAACAATTAACCAGTTGGACCCAAGGTTCTTGTGACAGTGACAATGAAGAATATGACCTTCTGGGATGTGACACTGTGCAGTCGGGTGAAACGTCCACTGACGCTTCAGAAGAACATATTGCTTCCATCTTCATGATCAAAGAGTAAACGGGCTCTGCTTCCCACTTCTAGCTGGTTTCTTGCCTGCATTACTCTTCAACCCTGAAGATGGCAGTAGTATGTTCCTTTGAAATGTCTGTGGACGTCCATCAGATTACACTGCTTTACATCCCTGAAGACAGTATTCTTCAAAAGCGAGTCTAATTCTTCTTGCAGTGACACTTTTTTATAAGCACTGACACAAGAAGCGCTACTGCCAGATGGTCTGTCCTCCTTTCTCCCTTCCTTTCCAAGGTTGTGTGTGCGCATACACGTGTGTGAATATTGTAGTTAGAGCAGTCAATCTATCCCTGTTCAAACATATTGAAAAGAGAAGTGATTTGATGTAGCTGATACCACAGACTGGAATGGGGAAAGAGAGCTCAGGAAGATATGAAGCAGCTAAACTGTGTTATTTATCAAGGTTCATCACCATCTGTTGCCTGAATATGAAGAGCATAGGGACTAGATTCAGTGCTCACACAGGGGATTGTTTCTTAATTTAATCAAGAATGGGTGCACTATTTTTACAAAACCTGTCCTTTGAATCTGATACCAGAATTTAATCACCAACAACACATGGGTAGGAGTACAGTTGCAGTATATGTAGTTAAAAAAATTAAACTGAAAATGAACTTCTTTATCAAAACCGTCACAACACAAATATATTAAGGTCAGTGCTTAGTTTGGCTCTGCTGCAAAAAAAATGAAAATTAATTATTAAAACAGCAGATATCCTAAGGCTATTCCTGTAACAGGACATGGATGCCCAATGGGTTGTGAGACGCTGAGGCTCCCACATTTACCAGACAAATTAGCTCCTAGATGGCAGTGAGGTTATCAGCCTTAAGCACCAACCATCCTTTACTGCCACAGTGCAGCTGGATGAATTAGGTCGACTGAAAAATCCAATGATCTGATGGGGAATCGAACCTGTGACCTTCCAGCTTGTAGCATAGTGTCTCAACCAACTATGCTACTGCATGCCTCTCAGCAGATATCCTACCTAGACAAGTTTCAAATACACTTGAAGTCTGCGGTCAGAGAGTCAATTTAACAATTATCTTTATTAGAGTGTAACAAGTGCATTTTTGTGTAAATCAGTGCTTTTCTGCAGCCAATATATGACAGTATACATCCAACAAACTTATCAAAAGTCAAACCTCCTTTTGTGTATTGCATGTTTGGACCATGTGCCTAAAATTGAGCATGACAATAGCACCAACACACTTTCAGAAGAAGGGACTTAAATGTATTAGCATTTTAAGATTCTGTTACTGCAAAATATATAAAGTGCAAAGAATGATTATATGATATAAGTTATTTAAGGGCCTCTGAACACATGGCTTACAAAATGTGAATTTCTCTTTCAAATCAAAAAAGTTCTCATGAGTGCATCAGTTTATATTACCTGGGAATTAGTCATGCCGCAGCTAAGAATGCCGATCGTACTTTTCTTATTGCAACATCTAGACACAGGATAATGAAATCACAACTGTAAAAATAAAAAACAAACACCAAAAACACAAAACATAAAACAATGAACCAGGGAACCAAACAAACACTAAAGCAGTATAACAAATAAATAATATTCCACTTGATGACTCTAGAAATCAAAATTTTCCCCAAAAACCTCTTCAAGCATCACCCACCCTTATCAGCACTCTTGTTAACATGGTTCTCCATAAAGGACCGCCAGTAATTACACACACTGCATATCTACAAGGGTATGTCAATAAGTAAGTTACAAATGGATATAGAACTTAGACAAATATGCTCTTATTTCTCAACATAATCTCCCTGTACATTGAGGCTTGTCCCATCGTTTCACAAGCCCCTGAAAACCAGCAGCATAAAATTTTTTGGGCTGCTATCAGAACCAGGCGTGTTCACGGCATGGCCTACCTCATAATGCATGACAGGTTAGGTTTTCATGAAGTCTGCACGATGGGTGCCGCGCATGCTGACCCCACAATACAAAATGCAAAGAATGGGTCTGGCATTACAGCATCTCAGTCGCTACCACGATGAAGGACATTATATGCTAGCCCGAATTGTCACAGGTAATGAGTCTTGGGTTCACCATTACCAACCAGAGACAAAGCATGCGTCAATGCAGTGGAAGCGTCCTGCATCGCCTTGAGGCTGGAATGCAGTGAGCAGTATGCCTTCGTGATCCCAGAAGACTGTGAGCATCACTTTCCTGGAGGATGGTGTCACCTTAAACTTTTTTTAGCAGGCGATGCAGGATGTTTCTACTGCATTGATGCACGCTTTGTCTTGGGCTGGTAATGGTGAACTCAAGACTCATCAACTGTGACACTTCGGGCTAGCATATCGTGTCCTTCATCATGGTAGTGATCTAGATGCTGTAATGCCAGACCAATTCTTTGCATTTTGTGTTGTGTGGTCAGCATGTGCAGCACCCATCTTGCACAGACTTTGTGAAAACCTAACCTGTCATGCATTATGAGCAGGGGCAGCCCATGTATAGGCACTGTGGAACTGCAGCACCTCCAATTTCCACTTGATATTATTGATAACATTTATATAATGAGTCCTTTTTTCTTTAATTCTTTCTTTATACTTGTACAATACAATATATAATCCTTAAGCTTAATGTCAGTAGCCAAATCTTTGTATGGAACTGCGCGCTTCACAGTTCCAGCAGCGAGGTGTTTGTTGACTGTTGACTGTTGACTGTTGTCTGTTGTGCGCATGCACACATAGGAAGCTGCACGCGAGGCTGCAAGAGAGAGAGGGCACTGTCGTTCCCGCAGTGCTGACCGGTGCCAACCTCGGCATGCTGGCAGAAGGTAGTTTTTTACTCCGCGTCTGTTGCGCTTAAAAGCCGTGTACCATATTCTTGAATGTGAGTTAATTGTAGAATTAGATTATTATCCTGCTTCCAGCTATTCTATTTGATTCATTTTTTTTTGGTTCTTTTATTTAACAGAAAACTTTAACCATGGCCTTGCATCCCCAAGAAATAAGTTATGTGACTGTAAGTGAACTTCAACAGCTTAAGTTTTCACAACTGTCTCTCCATGAGAAAGTTGCAGTTAAGAAAAGAGGTCGTTTAACACCTGATATTCTAATATCTCAGCCAGGCATAAGCAAGAACAAGAAATATATTCATAGCTTTAATTCTGAATGGTACAAACAGAAAAGTTGGCTTTGCGGCTGTGAAGTAAAAAATGCACTGTTTTGCTTCCCGTGTTTGCTGTTTGGGGGTGATGTAACGTGGACAAAAGATGGTTTTAGAAATATAAACAAAATGAAAGAAAAAACTGAAAAGCATGAGAAGTCAAAGAAGCATGTTGATAATGTAGTTTCACTGTCACTTTTAGGAACCGTAAGTATTAAGTAGAAACTTAGTGAGCCATACAGACTTTCAGTCAATGAGCATAATATAAAGGTTAAAAAGAACCGTGAAATTTTGTCCAAAATAATAGACTTCATTTTCTTTTGTGAAAACTTTGAAACTCCCTTACGTGGACATGATGAAAAAGACGATTCAATAAATCCAAGGGTATTTAGAGGATTAGTAAATTTTGCATCTAAATTAGATTCAGATTTGAAGCATCACTTAGAAACCAGTGCAGTCTTCTAAGGTGTTTCTAAGACCATTCAGAATGAGATACTTGACTGCCTGCTACAAATATACCATGAGGAGATAAGGACAGAAATTAGGAAGGCTTCCTTTGTAGCTGTCATGGCTGATGACACAACAGATGTTTCGGAACACACTCAAATGGTCCTTGTTCTATGGTACATATTGAATGGAGAAATATTTGAGCGTTTTTGGGGATCTTTATTCCAGAAAATCCAACTGCAGATGGCATATCAAAACGTATTTTAGAACAATTGGACATAATCCTTCAAGGAAATGGACAAAAACTGATAGCTCAGACATCTGATGGTGCAAATGTCATGAAAGGCAAAAAAGCAGGAGTTCAACCAAAAAATAAAAGCAGTTTATAGTAATGCACATGTCATTCACTGTTATGCACATAAACTTAATTTAATAATGAGAAATGCAGCAAGTATTACACGAAACGCAATAATATTTTTCTCTAACATTCTGGCTATTCCAACATTCTTCTCAAGATCACCACAACGTGAGTCCATTCTCAAGAATCATATGGAAGTCAGCATTCCACGTCCATCTTCTACAAGGTGGAACTTCAACATACGGACCATAAACAGAGTTCATGAAAATTTGCAACCTTTAATAAACTGCCTTACTGAAATTCAGTCAACATCAAATGCAGATCAAACCATTGCAGAAGCAACAGAAATTTTAAAATACCTGAATGATGATAATTTCAAGTTTTGGTTAGAGCTTTTTCATCAGATTATGCCTCATGTTGAAATAATTTACAACCAAATGCAATCTCGAGAAATTAGTGTTTAAAGTTAATGAATATATAACAAATTTCAAAACTGCTATTTTAGAATTGAGAAACTCAAAGTACTGTGAGAATCCTTCAAAGACACTCATGGTAGAAGCTAAGG